CCCCCCCCCCCTAAACGGGTCATATAGTATTGATACCGTTCCTTACATAGACATTTATTTTTATCTGTCATCAAAGACAAAGATCGTTGTGTAAAGTCGCTGCGAATTTTAACACATTCGATGCTAATATGATTTTCATGTATAAAAGTGCGCTCTACAGCTTGTTTGGTGGCACTCAATGTGTTTATTGGAGCTAGAATTATTTTGAAAGTATACGAGATAAAAAAATTATAAAGAATCTATACTTAATCTTGTATTTCTAAGACCAAATCTATTCAAAACATATGTTTTATACAGAGTCTAGCTGTCCGCGACTCCATACGGAGAATTAAATTAATAAGTAGCCTATGTGTTATTCCAGACTATGTTCTATATGTATGCCAAATTTCATCAAGATCTGTTCAGCCGTTTTGGAGATACGTTCAAACAAACATACATCTAAACATTCGCATTTATAATATTAGTAAGATTTATATTTCCGTATGTTATTTTCCAGGTTCTTGGTATGCGTGACATATCTAGAAATCTACAATGAAGAAGTTCGCGATCTGCTCGGTAACAACCCGCACCAGAGTTTGGAGGTCAAAGAGAGACCTGACATCGGCGTATTTGTTAAAGACCTTACCGGTAAACTTTCATATTGATTAGCTATTAACAGCGACTCCATCCGATCGTAATTTAAAAAAAAACTTAATAAGTAGCCTATGTGTTCTTCCAGACTATGTTCTACATCTATACCAAATTTCATCTAGATCCATCTAGCCGTTCTGGAGATATCCTCAAACAAAGATCTAAACATTCGCATTTATAATATTAGTAAGATATTTGTGATAAAAAATATTTTTCTTTATTTCTAAATTAAGTATTCCTTTGAAAACTACTAACAACAAAAACTACAAAAAAAAATTAAAAAAAAAACAAAAACCCGATTATCACCAGGCTAGTTGGCCATGTTAGAGTTTTAAACTCAACAAGCCGTCGCCATAACTACGCCTGCAAAAAACTTTACTTACTAAAGTACCATATATGTTCTACTAGATTACGTTCAAATGCCAAATTTCATAAAGAAAACTCCATTAAGAAGTTCCAGAGATTTGTAACAAACCATCTAAACATTCGCAATTATATTACTAAGTGGTATAGGAATTAAATTCTTTAACTACATCCAGGTTACGTGGTACATAATGCTGATGAGTTAGAGAAGATTATGTCAGTTGGTAATAAGAATCGACATATTGGGGCTACGGCTATGAATATAGAAAGTTCACGTTCCCATGCTATCTTTTCCATTACCGTCGAGAGTAGTAAGAAGGGGAACGATGGGAAGACGCACGTTAAGATGGGGAAGCTGCATCTTGTCGATCTAGCGGTAATTATCTAACTACAGTCAAAATAAACTTAATTAGTAGCCTATGTGTTCTTCCAGACTATGTTCTATATCTTCGACAAATATCAAAAAGATCTATACAGCCGTTCTGGAGATACCTACAAACATACATCCATCCATTTAAACATTCGCATTTATAATTTTATTTGGACTAGTTGTCGCCCGCGACTCTGTCCGTTTGGTATTATAAAAACCTAATTAGTCTATGTGTTTTTCCAGACTATGTTCTATATGTATGTCAAATTTTAACGAGATACATTCAGCTGTTCTGGATATACCTTGTAACAAACATACAGTTAAACATTCGCATTTATAATATTAGTAAGATGAGATATCTTATTTACCTATGTTTTCTGATATCGAAATCTCTGTATAAAACATTTTTATCTTTGTCATTTGACAAAATAAAGATAACATTATGTTTTAAAACAGTTTTTCCCAAAGTGTGCGATAACGCACCCTTGTGGGCGCTGCAGGTCTCAAGTTGCGGGTTAAAGTAAAAGTTTGGTTTACAATTCTCCGGTAATATACATATATAGGTCACAATAATTAATTAATTTAATTCGAAGTTATAGTGGTTTTTAAATATGTGAAAATATGAGGGCGCCAAAAAAATATTTATTCTCAAAGTAGGGAGTAGACAAAATAAGTTTAGGAACCACTGTTTTAAACGAAGATTTTGGTATCAGAAACCCACTTTAAACTTATTTTTATTTATACCAGGGTTCTGAACGTCAGAGTAAGACTCAAGCGACTGGAACACGTTTGAAGGAAGCCAGTAAGATAAACCAGTCGCTGTCTGTTCTCGGCAACGTTATATCAGCGTTAGTTGACGGCAAGTCTACACATATACCTTATCGCAATTCAAAGCTGACCCGACTGCTGCAGGATTCACTCGGAGGCAACTCCAAGACTGTTATGGTAAGGATATAGATCTTATTTCAGGTTTATACTATTCCAGTTCAGTGTATAATACTGGATTATAACTGGAATTGTGTAAACTAACAATAGATTGCACTGTTTTTGTTTACATTAGTACAGTCCAGCGATTAGAGTATCGTATGGTAACTGGAATGATGTAAATCATTAATTTGCAATATATTAGTTTACATTGTTCCAGTCTAGTGATTTATAAATCTTTGGTATCTTTGTAATTCGCATTGGAATGCATTGTAGGTGATGACGTTATTCCAGTTCAGTATTCTAGATCAACGCTGGATTACACTTGACTGGAATGATGTAAACTGACAATGGAATGCACAGTATGTTTATATTATTCCAGTCCAGCGTTTGAAGTCAATTAGATTGCAACTTATTAAAATTATTATAATTTAATAAACAGTCAAATGCACTGCGTGTTTAGACTAGTCCAGTCCAGTTGTTAAAATTAACGCTGACATAACTATAATCTTTGTAATATAGTTATATTATTGAATAATTTGATATATATATTTTAGATAGCAACAATTGGTCCAGCGGAATCAAACTACGTCGAAACAATAAGCACACTGCGATATGCAAACCGCGCTAAAAATATTGAGAACAAGACGCACGTCAACAGCGAACCTGGAGATGCATTGCTCACCAGGTATAGACCGTTTCAAATATATTTTTATATATCATAAGATGGCAAACGAGCGAGCCACCTGAAATCGCTGAAATAGCGAAGTGACAGCCCATAGACATACGCACGACGGAGACGGAGGAGAGGATGCACAGAAAGAAAATATCTTCCCTTCCCATGCATCTCATCCGGAAAGTCCATTTCCACTTCCCATCCTTTCCTTATAATAAAAAGGGTGGGAAGGGAAAGAGGACTAAATTAGGCTTCCAGGACGCATAGCTGAAACCTAACCTAAAAAAAACTTTTTTAGGTTACTTTTCAGGTTACGTTCATGTCAAATTTCATCGAGATCTGTTCAGCCGTTCCGGAGATACCTTCAAACATCCATCCATCCAAACATTCGCATTTATAATATTAGTCAGACTACCTGTCGACTGCGACTCTTCCAGACTATGTTATTATAAAAAATTTTAGCGTAATCTATGCAGTCGTTCTGGAGATACGTAACAAATATACATATAAACATTCGCATTTATAATATTAGTAATATATAAAAATAATAATTTCAGATTTCAACAAGAGATTGATCAACTCAAAAAACAATTGGAAGAGACTGCTAACGGTAAGATGTATTTACTAGCTGTCGCCCGTGACTCTGTCCGTTAGTATCCTATGAGTTCTTACAGACTGTGCTCTACATGTATTCCAAATTTCATCAAAATCCATTAGACCGTTCTGGAGATACCTTCTAACAAACATCCATCCATCCAAATATTACCAAATATAATAAGTTTGTAATTTAATTTGACGACAGTGTATATTAGGAGTGTCGGTGGCTCAGAGGTTAAACACTTGATTTGTCAGCCTGTCCTGGGTTCGAATACCGTCATATACCAATGTTTTTTTAGATTCACTTTTATCGAATATTCTTACGGTGAAGGAAAACATCGTGATGCTGCACATATCTGTGAAGAAATTCAAATGTATGAAGTCATTGGGTCAGCATTGACTATGACCTAGTTAACTTAGGGTAGACTCTGAGTTCAGTGGGGACGGTAATATTCAAAGCATTTGTTTATAGAAATCGAAGAAGGCGAAGAGGAAGGTGAATGCAGTGAGGAGGAACTGAGCGATGATACCCTCACTGACCCCGAGCTGGACTCTCTCGACCCTGAAGAGAGGAAGATACGCCGCAAGATCAGGAAGGAAGAGAAGGTTCGTTTACAATTTTCTTACCAGCGACCTTAGTCCCTTTCCCTTCCTAGACTTGTAAGGAAAGGGACGTGGATTTAATATACATATAGGAAGGGGAAATATTTTCTTTCTTTTTGTTAAGTGTATCAGCAATTGGAATAGGATGTTGCTTCGCTATTTAAGCGAATTCAATTTACTGCTCGTTTGTCATATTATGCTAGCTGTCGCCCGCGACTCCGCACGGAATTTAAATAAGTCTAATCAGTAGCAGTTCAGGAGATAACTTCTAACAAACATCCATCTAAACATTCGCGTTTACGATATTTATAATATGAAATAAAATTAATAATATTGTTATCCCTTTCCTTCTCTTTGATAAAATAGAGACAACAGTATAACAACTGGCTGGAAAGAATATTGATAATTTCAAGTCAATTTTAAATTGATTTGTTCTTAAATAAAAGTAAATTAATTAAATATTAAAACAATATATGAAAAGAGGTTTTAATGATATATTTGATTTCAGGTTAAATTAAACAGAGAGAAAGCGCATCAGGCGAGGAAAGCTCTGGAAGAAAAGAAAGCTGAATTACAAAAGACTAAGTAAGTATAGAAAGTTGAAATAAATTCCAGCTGGATATATTCCCGCGTTCCTGAGAAAAATAGTCTTAATAGACAAACAAAGTAATCCTATAAGGGTTCCGTTTTCTTTTTCGACGTACAGAACCCTAAAGTTGCTAAAAAATCACATGACTTTTGCCCGTGACTTTGTCTGCTCGGAATTAAAAAAAGACGCTAAATAAATAGCTATCTACACTATATTCCTCTATACCATATTTCATCAGGATCCTAATTTTTCTGTTTTACATTCTGAAAAAAAAACACAGGGACATCCGTCTATCAATTCACGCGTGATGCTGTAACCAAGGGAAATAAGCATTCACTTTATACACTAGCTTTTAACCGCGACTTCCTCTGGTCTGAATTAAAAAAAAAGCTTATATGATCATCCAGACTATGCGCTTCATCTATGCCAAATTTCATCGAGGTACATTCCAGCGGTTCTGAAGAAAACTTCATACAAACATCCATCCATACGTCTAAATTTTTACATTAATAATATTAGTAAGAATAAAATCCATAAGTAAATGGCTCTTATCGTAGGTTTCTAAGACTATAAACTCCGTTTAAAACATATTTTTATCTCTGTTGTAGCAATGGCAGGTACAATATGTTTTATACAGAGTTAGTCTCGGAAACCCACAGTTAATAAGATAATAAACTGATGCTTGTATACAGGAAGCAACAAGAAGAACTTAAAGAGAAGTTACAACGCTTGGAGTCCAAAGTGCTGGTTGGTGGTGAGAACTTGCTGGACAAGGCGGACGCGCAGCGCCGGTTACTGGAACAGGCAGCAAAGGAACTGGAACAACGCACCCTCAATGAACTGAGGCTGCAGGAAGACTTGCAGAAGAAAGAGGTTAACTCCGCCTTTTAGTTATTGGTATAGAAGTTTTCAAATATCTTATCCGCTCGGGACAGCGTAGGGGTTACTGCGCAGATGTCTTTTTTTGGTATCGGAAGGGAAATTTTCGTAAGATACCCTTTACCCTGCCTTTTAGAGGAAAAACAGGGTAATGTGATATTTCTAATTACTAAGACCCTTTTTTGGCCAATCATTTAGAAATTATATCCTACTTTGTATTTATAAATAGCAATCTAAGCTGTCCTTTACTGACATTAATATAATTACATAAGAGAGACAAGGACAGATGTAAACTCGATAGACTGCATACAGCTGTCACTTACCAACATGCATATTATAATATAAGTGAGACAAGGACAGATATATTTCTGTCACAGGCGGAGCGTCTGGACCTGGAGGAGCGGTACTCCAGCCTGCAGGAGGAAAACGCAGCTAAGACAAGGAAACTCAAACGTGCCGTACAACTACTTAACTCTGCTAAGGTACTATTCTTTTTATATTATAAGGTGGCAAAAAAAAATGGCGAGAAATCGCCTTAATTCGCCGAAATAGCGAAGTTTTTAGACACGTTGATAGATACGTTGCCTACCTTTAATCGACGAAGGAGTAGATCCTCCTATCCATCTTTCCTTTTTTAAAAAAAAAACAGCTGTACCACGCGAGACCGTCCAATAAAAAAAAATAGCCTATAAGTTCTTGCAAGATTCTACATCTAGGCCAAATTTCACCAAAATGAGAACAAACATTCGTTCTGGAGATAACTTCTAACAAACATCCATCTAAACATTCGCATTTACAATAGCAAGGAAAGTCTACGACAGGAACTTGTCTAATCCTGTGCTTCCTCAGGCGGAGCTGGCTGACCAGCAGCGCGAGCAGCAACGGGAGATGGAGGGCATCCTGGATGGAGTACGAGCTCTACGCCGCGAGATACAACTCGCAGACCTTGTACTCGACTCTTACATACCCAAGGAGTACCAGGTACCAACTTGACAAACAACTAACGCCATCTAGTGTTAGGTTAGAAAATCCGACACTATGCCGGTGTACTGGTACAACACTATTCTTACTAAAATGTCGACGTTTATGTCCCCTCACTAATTTGAATAAAATGGTCCATAAACGATTTAAAAAAATTAAAAAAAACTAAAGGAATCTATTATTTTCAGGCGTTAATCGATAAATACGTACACTGGAATGAACAACTCGGCGAATGGCAGGTGAAGTGTGTCGCGTACACTGGCAACAATATGAACGCGCCGCACCAACGCCCTCAACGGACACACAAGCATGTAAGTACAATGTACACGACTGTACACATCTCACCATACACTGTACACGATTGTACACAAGATGTAAGCGTTGTGCGTGACTGTATACACTACTCACGTGAGCTTACATATACGTGTGCATATATTGTGCGCGATTGTACACAACAAGCAAGTATTAACACGTTAGCTGCCAGAATGTTTTTTCGAAAAACGATTTTTTTTTAATTTTGTCCAAAACCATTTGAAAACACCTAAAAATATAGTAATACCTTATTTACATTTCTCATATACTTATTATTTAAATATTTACAATTCGTCGGACATATAGTCCGACATGGCAGCTAACGTGTTAAGGGTGAAACATCTCACGTGAGATAACACTGTGCGTGACAGTACACATAATACACGTGAGCTTACATTATGAACACAACATACATTTTCATGCACTGTGCGCGACTGTACACAACCACTGAATACGAGGGACATATTGTAAGCAATTGCACTTATAGTACACGTTAGCTCCTATTGTACGTGACTGTACAAACATCACACGTAAATATATATTGTACACGAATGTACACTTAACAACTAAATGTTACTTTAATTGCGATGGAGGTGACATTTGTTTGTGTACGTGAGTGTACACTCACAAACTTGAACAAATCTGATAATGGAACTGTGCGCGACTGTACACAAGACAAGACTATCTGACCCGGTGGGCATGAGCCAAACTAAATTATAGCTCACTAGCGCCCCTCTATTAATATTAAAAAAATGTCTCCAAGTCATTTTCGTACGGAAACCGTCTTCTTATGTAGCTTTGTCTCATCGGGCTAGATATCCTTGTTTGGTAAACATTTTTAATTCATGATTTTAATTTAAAAAAAAACTTATTTATTTTTATAGCAGGTGGAACCCCCAGATCTATCGGACCGGTATCTGTCGTACTCGTCAGTGGGGGGAACGCGACCTGGTACCAGACTGGCGCGGCCCCAGTCCGCAGTCCCAAGACCTAATTCTGTGGCATTACGCCAACGACAGTAAACATTACTTACTCTATGATGTACTCATGCTAGCTTCATTTAATCTTTGGTGAAATAATTCCATTTTTACCGTATTTAATCTATAGCTTAAATATTACCAATTAAGTAGAAATCGGTAAAATATTTATACGAAAAAGTATTTATGCTTAAACGTGGAAGAATTGTAGAAAAACCTTTGTCTTATGTTTTTTTTTTCATAATTTTGACAGTTCGTGTTTTCGTGATTTTAGATTATTGTTCATGTATTTCACTTGTTTTTTAAAACTTTAATAAAGATGTCAAAATTCAATCACACATTTAAAATCATTGTAGTTACAAATATTACAGGTTTTAAATAACAAAATCAATTTTAGGGATTTCTTTAATTTTATTACAGCTTCCACTAGAACTATGACTACTAGAAGAATACTGTTTGAAGTTTTTTTTACGATGTTATTAATTTCTAATATTATATTATAAAAGAAATATTTTGTAATTAAAATATAATGGCTTATGAAGTTGGCGGCAAAATGATTCTCATTCGATATTATACTAGTCACATTCCAGTGATATATTAAATCCGATTTACATTATTCCAGCGCAGCGACTGTAATCATCGCTGGATTGCATGATTAATATAACTGGAAGGCATTGATGGTTTTTACAATATTCCAGTTGTAATCCAACATATATTTCGATCTGTGGACTGGAATAATGTAAACCTGGTATTACTAAATGTAACCGTCAGTATTAATAATTAATTTCTTATTCTAAAGTTATAGTTTTTTAATTTATATTATACTTATGTTACCACGTTTTTTATGTTCATATTATGTATCTTAATATTTTTTTATTAAAAATATTAGCAGTTTTTTGTGTAAATTTACTAATATTTCTTTTACCATTCCAACTAAGCTCTAGACTTGTGCTAGGATATGGTTTACGACAATAGTCGAATGGCGGGATTCGAACTCCCGACCTCGTGGTCGGAAATCCGTACCCTTAACCGTTAGGCTATTGACGCTTTTTGTTTTATATTCTTGTGATATTTAGTTATGATTCAGTGTTGCTATGAACTATGATAAATATATAATAATTTGCGTGATTCGTTACTTTTATTTCTTAGTTCTTGTTCCATAACGTACTCACGAATTACTCACTTTTTTATTTGTATGATTTATTTACGTATATGTCAAAATTAAATTCAAGACCACATAGATTATAATTTTCTGACTTCAATCTATTTGATATTTTTCTAATGTATTATTTACTTTTATTTCTATATTATCGTGTAATATGACTCTTATCGGTGCTATTTTAAATAAAGCGAAATCCGTTGAATCTGTGACGAAAAAGTACGCGTCACCTCCACCGGAAATTGACAAGATTCCAAAACGAAAGAAAAAGAAGGTTATTGACAAGGTAAGTGATAAATGTATTGCGTTGTTATTCTAATAAATTAAAGAACTATTATGGAAGGAGTAGTAATAATTATAACGATTATTACTACTCCTTCCATAATAGTTTACAGTTCCTCTAGTGTCCTCTAGTATTACAGTTCATCTGGTGTTGCAGATGTCCATGGGTGTCGTTGATCACCTCGGTGTTCCCGCCGCTCGTTTGTCCCCTTCTCTTATAAAAAAAAAACGATACAGCGATTCAAATATAAGCAAAAGATTTTTATTTTAGAGTACGGCATATAAAAAGGCTAAGGTTATGCCAGTACAGTATTTCAGCATCCCTCAGTTTCGTCTGATGAGTGTGCGTTCCGGAGGCCTAATTAAGTCCTTTTTTCCCCTTCCCACCCTTTTTCTTATAAGGAAAGGATGGGAAGTGGAAGTGAACTTTCCGGATGAGAGGATGCATGGGAAGGGAAAATATTTTCTTACTGTGCATCCTCTCCTACGTCGATTAAAGGTAGGCAACGCATATGCAATTGTGTATGTCTATGGGCAACGGTCACTTCGCTAATTCTGCGATTTCAGGTGCCCGCCCGCTCGTTTGCCACCTTATGATATAAAAAAAACAACATATTACGTTAAGTTACACATAAATTAATTGTTGCTTATTGCATAAGTCAAATTAAATTATCACAGATCTCTAGACCCCTAGGTTACTTCGCTTTCAGGTGGCCGCTCGCTCGTTTGCCACTTTATGATATAAATATAAAAAATACTAATTAGCGCCAGTGAACCATAACAGTCTATAGCAGGTCAGAGCTACTGTACTGGCATTATGTAAATCAGAGATAAAAACACCATTCCAGTACAAACATGTCAAAGCAGTTGTGGACAGTTCACCGCCGCTCTATGATGCTCGGATTTTGGCGCGAAATCTGCCAAAATGGCGGCGGAATGTCCTCGATGTGGCGCTTGAAAACACGCGGCTAGTGATGGCTATTAAAAGGACGCATTTTAATCGAGTTAGTTTAATTTGTTTGCATTTTATTAGGTTTGAAGCATCTTT